ATTCTGGCATAGACTTCAATAGAATCAAAATACCTCAGAATTTATCTGATTAGAAAAAGATCTCATTGAATGAAAAATATATTTGAAAAAAAACAACTGTTTAACTACCAAAGTTTTGACCTGAAAAGTAAAATTTACAACTTTCTTATAAATTTCAGAACATGAAAGGGAATGTAAATTATTTTGTTTGTTCTGAAAGAAAGGAGTGATTATATTAATCGAATGCATGCTTGAAATCTAGCATATAAATTTAAGCTTAAAGATGACTGCCTTGTTGAGTGGGATGCACTTGATGTTCCCGAGTTCGAACCCAGCCTGCCGTTTTTCCTGCCATCTTGTAGGAGGTTTTGGCTTAGAGGAAATAATCTTCATTTCTGAAGGAACATTTGAAACTTGATAATAAACAAATAAATTCCAAACATTAAAAAAAATATTCTCATCTTTATCATCTAATATTATTTAATAATACCACCACAGTTTATAATCCAACACACTCAGTAATCCAGCACGGTGCAGATGTAAATCATTTAATTAATGTATCCTGTAGTATGAGTATTTTTAAAATGTTGGTAGGCTCAAATTGTAATTTAGTACAGTATGTGAAAGTTGAAATCATATGTTTTGTATTTTTAGAGAAATAGATATTTATTTTTCAACTATTGTTTATTTTATACCCTTGAAAGCTTTAGAAAATATCTTATTACATCATAAATAGAATTTTCTTGACATGTTGTATGATTAAATTTTTTAAAGTACAGCTAACCTTGTAATCTGACATTTTCATTACCCCTCCTACCCCATAAGCATCAGACTATCAAGAGACAATTGTATTTTAATGAATATGTAAACTTTTTATTTTTATAATAACTTTGATGAAATGGCTAAATATTTATGCCTATTTTTTTCCCACAGAAATTTTTGCATCGGCAGCAAGAGAAAACATCTAAAAGGTTAAAATTTGGAGAAAAATTTAAGAAAGCTTCTTAAATTGTGCCTCATTAACTTTCTAGAAACTCACTCTAACATCAGCTTTAAATAACAATTAGTTTAGCTAATGAAAATGATGGAAACTGACTTGCATGTGTGTCTGAGTTTGTCTATGTCTATAAGTTCTTATTTGCAATAATGACTCTAAAAAAAAATTAGCCGTCCATTTTTTTGTTTGTTTTGCAAGTATTCAACTTTGCTAGAAGCCTATTGTTTTCGGGTCATTATCATATTAAGTTAGAGCAATATGTATGACTGTTGTGGTGGTACCTGTGCCAAGACTCAAGAGAGGCAGCATAAAATAAATGAGCTATCTGTACATACATTATTGATTTAAATAATTTTTATGTTGCTATGGCAAAGTTTGACTTTTTAATTAATTTTTTTTTAAAGCTTGGAAAATATTTTTATCCCAATTAAGCTTAAGATTTTTTATATTTCTATGCAAATTAGAAAAAGCTCATAATTAATGAAGTTCATTATTTCTGTTTAATTGAACATCTAAAAAGTTGTTGGATTTGTAATGAGGTTACAATTACAAATCATGGAAGAGGTAAAATTAACAATTTACAATTTTGTATTTAAATACATGCATTGTCTTTTGGTAAGTGAAACTTGCTTAAAGTAGGCCTATTACTCTAAAAAGGCGAAACAAGTTTAGGCTTAATGGATGAAAAATATGTAAGGCTTCTGTAAAAAAAAAAGAAGAAAAGCTTACGAATTGAAGAAATTATCCTTTTTTTCTGTATATATATAAAAAAATTATATTTTGACCTAGTAAGCTATTAATATTATAAAGTGTTTTAATGGCAAGTTTATAATTACCCACACATTGAACTCTATGATTTGAAAGATCCAATAAACTTCATATGACCAAGACTTCCATTTATTTCTTCATTTATTTTTAAAGTATTACTTTGCATTCACTTCAGCATTTTTTTCACTTTGATTTACTTGAATTTTTAAAATCACTTTTAGTTGTCAAATGTTTTGTTTGTTTGTCTTTTTTCTACTTTATAATCAGCTTAATCAACTTAGATGTATAGATTGGGTTGTCACTATTCTAGAACATGTATTTACATAGAGATAGCATAGTTAAAACTTCTTTTATTTGTCAAACTAGAAATGTAAATTGGGTGGTTAAGGAAAATAAACATATAAGATAAGATAAAAGATATAAATAGTGGAATAAGTGATATTGATAATGAGTCAAACAAAAAGGTGAATTGATTTGTTAATAAATATAACCAGTAGAATAAGTGGTATTTGCTAACCAGTCTAACTAGAAGTGTAGTGGAGATTGATAGTGAAACAAGACAAGTAAAAATGATGCTAGAATTATAGGTGAGGTGGATAATGAAACTATAGACATAGAGTCTAGATGAAGTTGTTAAAAGTGAAATATTATTAGTGAAGCTAGTCATAAGGTTGTTAGAAGTGATGTTAGTGAAACTCAGTATATAGGTGAGTTCTTGAGTCATAAGGTTGTTAATCTAACTGGAAGTATGGAAGTGGGTTGTTAATCAGACAAATTGGAATAAAAATTCAAAAATAATTTGCTTTAATTTGGTTTTCGCTATTTTTTTCTCCTTGTGTTCACTATTTGCACATCTTTTTTTTTTCTATTTTATTTCACAGTAACAAGAAAACATGAAATCTTGAAAATGTCAACATTGGAATCAAAACTAACTTTGACACGTATCTACTTATTGTGAGAATAGCAGAGGATTATTGGCTTAATTTTTAAAAAATGAAAATCATTGCAAAGCATCTTCTACCAACAAATGTTTAATTGTATTTTTCAGAAGAGCAGTTGATCAGAAATTGGAATCTGTAATTCTTCATTAGTAAAATAATAATGACACAAGTGTTACTAGTCTGTAAAACTCTTTTGGCTTCTGAATTGTATTAACTATTTAGCATAACTGTTTGTTTTATTTAAATAGATTTTGTTTTATTAATCCTGAAATGCCAAAGGTCTTCCCACTGCTTATAAGCAGTAAATGGATTTTTTTTTTTAACATTAGCCTTTTCTTTACTTTCTTCAGAACAAGTCTGAGATGGGATGTCCCAACATTTAATATGTAGTGATGATGCTTTTTTTTAGTGTTATATAAGAAAACATGTATATATATTATTACAATGTGATACATTGAGTGAATAGGTCTACTATGAATATTATATAGCATACAATTATTGTAAGTCTATGTAAAATAATTTACCAGTTTGACTTGCTTTGTACTACTTTTTTTACTCAATCAGCCAGTATTATTACTTCGTCTATCAGTATGTAAAATCTCAATACACAAGAGTCCAATTTTTATTGAAGCAGATTTGACAAGCTCAAATTGGGACAAAATATTACAAGTTTTCATCTAAGGAAAGAACTAGTCTACATAATAGATCTGTGCCCATTCTTTACTTGAAAAAAAAAAATTAGACTTTGATCTTAACATGTTTATATAAAAAGAGTTTAATGGTTTTTCAGAATCTTAAACTAACCTGGGGTCCTGGGTTTGAATCTCTGTGAAGAATGGGATTTTGAATTTCTAGATTTTTAGGGTGCCCCTTACTCCACCCAACTCTAATGGGTGCCTGACTTTTGTTGGGGAAAGTAAAGGCGGTTAGTCGTTATGCTAGCCACATGAATACCTGCTCATTAACCGTTGGCCAAAGAAACCAATGATCATCTGTCCTATAGATCGCAAGGAAAAATTTAAGACATTTTTTTTTTCTCCAAAATTAGTTGCTTTGTCTCCAGTTTCAAACAAATTATCAGCCAAAATAAGTTGTTCTGTCTCCAGTTTCAAACAAATTATCAGCCAAAATAAGTTAATTTGTCTCTGTTGCCAACACAGCCTCAGCGGCTAGTGAGCCTTGTTGTGACACTTGAATCTACACATTTTTTTTTTGTCTTCAAATAAAGAATGAAATTTATGTTTGTCTATACAACTTTTTGTATATTTATAACTTCTATGAAACCTATGATTGGACATTTTAAATTCTGAGTTCGCAAGTGCGTCAAAGTACTGCATTTTTTATTTTTTCAACATTTTTTGGATCAGATATTCTGTTTCACTTACAACTACAGCATTTAATTTGAGTCATTTTTTTTTTCCATTACTGGTTCAAGTGTGACTTTTTATTTCTTTTAAATAGCAATTAGTTATTAATACTCTTTTATCTTAATTCATCTATTGTATTCATTGTGTTTCTTCTGAATACATAGTAACAATTTTAGTAACTTTATTTAACAATTGTAGTAATTTTTATTTAACAATTGTATTAACTTTTATTTATCAATTTTAGTAACTTTTATTTACTGTCCAAGTAAGAACTACTATTTTAATCATTCCATCCATTTATTATTTGATGTATTTTTTGTATATTTTTTAAAATTATTATAATTATATAATGAATACTTTTTGTATACATTTTTATACTCTATCAATAGTTAATATTTAAGTTTTTTTTCAGTACATTTTTTCTTGGTCATTTTATTCAAGTTTTTTTATATACACAAATCAGAACATTTTTTTCTGTTTTGTCATTTTTGTACATTTTTATTTTCTACTCCACCTGTGTGCCTTATTTGTTGTTTCTGCTCCAGCTGGGTGTCTTATTTGTTCTTTCTGCTCCAGCTGTGTGCCTTATTTGTTTTTTCTACTTCAGCTATGTCTTATTTGTTCTTTGTACTCCAGCTGTGTGTCTTATTTGTTTATTCTACGCTAGCTGTGTGTCTTATTTGTTCTTTCTACTCCAGCTGTGTGTCTTATTTGTTCTTTCTACTTTAGCTGTGTGCCTTATTTGTTCTGTCTACTCCAGCTGTGTCTTATTTGTTTTTTGTACTCCAGCTGTGTGTTTTATTTGTTCTTTGTACTCCACCTGTGTGTTTTATTTTTTCTTTGTACTCCAGCTGTGTGTCTTATGTTCTTTCTACTCTAGCTGTGTTCCTTATTTGTTCTTTCTACTTCAGCTGTTTGTCTAATTTGTTTTTTCTACTCCATCTGTGTGTTTTATTTTTTCTTTGTACTCCAGTTGTGTGTTAAATGTGTTTTTGTACTCAAGTTGAGCAACTCTGATTTTTTATTTAATTCTAATACCAATAATAAGGAGTGTCTCCAAGTCTGAAGATTAATGAGGAATACAGTACGTATTTCTCGTGGCTACATAGCCCCAGCGTCGACCTGCATATTTTGCCACATCTAACATTACCATTATCCGCCAATGGTCAATTGATTTACATTTTCTTTTAGCTATGTCTGTCCTTAGCAGTGGATTTTCTTTTGGTACTGTGACTCCAGCTGGCGCAGAGTATTGATATACTAGCTGTGTGTGATATATTCTTTGTTTACTAGCTTTGTGTGTGATATATTAAATTAATTTCTTTGTTCACTGAGCTGTTCTTTCTTTGTTCACTAGCTGTGTGTGTGATATAATCTTTGTTCATTAGCTGTGTGTGTGATATAATCTTTGTTCACTAGCTGTGTGTGTGATATAATCTTTGTTTGTTAGCTGTGTGAGTGATATAATCTTTGTTCACTAGCTGTGTGTGTAATATAATCTTTGTTCACTAGCTGTGTGTGTAATATAATCTTTGTTCACTAGCTGTGTATGTGATATAATCTTTGTTCACTAGCTTTGTGTGCAATTTTTTTTTTCGATAGCAGTATGTGTGATATATTTTTTATTCACTACATGTGTGTGTCAGTGATGAATTATTATTTCATTAGGTGTTGTTTTGTATATTCCTTGTACATTATTTCTGTGTGATATATTCATTTATATATTAGATGTGTGAGTGATGTTACATGTATTTATTGTTCATTAGATGTGTGTGTTATGTTGCATGTATCTATTGTTCATTAGATGTGTGTGTGTGATGTTTCATGTATCTATTGTTCATTAGATGTGTGTGTGATGTTACATGTATCTATTGTTCATTAGATATGTGTGTGTGATGTTACATGTATCTATTAGCGGCCTCCGAAAGGGGAAAAGACGCTATTAGTTTTGTGCGAAATATCTGTCCGTCCGTCCCGTTTAGATCTCGTAAACTAGAAAAGATATTGAAAATCCGACATCACAATATTTTAGACCATTCAAAGTTCTGATGCAACGGCTACTTTTTTTTTTTCTGAAAGCGAAAAATCTAATTTTTAAAATCAGTTATGCAAGCAGTTTTTTAAAGAGAAAAAGCTAATTAGTATACATTATAAGTTAGACCTAATTTAAAACGAATAGTAATCTTATAAATTTCATTTTCCTGAATTTGTGTACAAATTACACCGCTCCAAAATCCTAAAACACTTATATCAATTATAACATCAGTTAGGCCAGGGGAGGCGCGGTGGCTGAGCGGTAAAGCGCTTGACTTCCGAACCGGGGGTCCCTGGTTCGAATCGTGGTGAGGACTGGGATTTTCAACTTTGGAATCTTTGGGCGCCTCTGAGTCCACTCAGCTCCAATGGGTACCTGACATTAGTTGGGGAAAAGTTAAGGCGGTTGGTCGTTGTGCTGGCTACATGACACCCTCGTTAACCGTAGGCCACAAAAACAGATGAACTTTACATCATCTGCCCTATAGACCACAAGGTCTGAAAGGGGAACTCGATAGGCCAGGTTCACATCTAACTTTGCATTCACTTGCACCTATCCTTTGATCTGCTGTACCGTTGGGGCACTACACAAGATCTGTCAACCTTCTTTCTCCATTCTTATCTCTCATTATATCTTTGATATAATTTCATTTGGATGTTCTTTCTGAAAATATTGAAGCCTGTCTGGGTGGACCACATCGGGGGCCGATTTTGAGTTTGTGTTTCCACACAAACTGTCTTTGTAACCTTGTTGTTCATTACATTTGTGTGTGATGTTTTGTTCAAACTAGTTATGTGTCAGATGGAATATACATAAGTTAACATAAACTAGGCATCACTGTGTAGACATAAAACCCTCATAAATCCTTGTATGACACTATATAAGACTGACTTTAGAAGCACTCAGTATCTGCTGAAATTAACTTCCTGAAAGTTATCTCAGAAAAAAAATTAAGCCAAGGAGAGCAACTGTGATAACTTCAGTAAAGTTTGGGCTAACTCCCTTTGAGCTTAAAGATTTAATTTATAAAGGTGTTTTAGTTGGACGGACAAGTAGACAAACCACACAAAACTCCAATCAGAGTTGTGTTAGTTGAGCGCCTAACAGCAGTGCATACACCTTCGCTCTAAACCCCTCCCCAATGTCCAACGCAATGAAAGATGCGCTTTAAGAAAGCAATAAAAACAAGCAATAGCTAAAGAAATACTTTTTAAAAAATAAAGCTTATTAAAGGGAAAAAATCGCTAATTACTGCCATTTTATCTGAGAATTACAGGATTTATCTCCCCTTTTGCTACATAAAACAATGTTAATGAATCAGTACTAAATGATTAACTAATTTGTAAATTTTTGAATTGATTCTTGTATTATCATCGACTATGAATAATTATGCAAAATTTCCACTAGATCCGAGAATGGGAAGTGGGAGATAGAACATGTGAAAACGTAATAAAGGGACTAAATCCATCCATACATCTCTCATTAAATAGCATTTCTTCTCCTTATTTCCATACCAAACAAACTAATTAATCCACAACTTAATAAGCTAATTGGTTAATTTTTTATTGAATTATGTCTTTTCATGTTCAATGACTACTTGTGCAAAGTTTTAACTTGATACGACAATGGAAAATGGGGGAAAAAACATGTTCAAACTTTTACAAGACAGAATGAGTTGATATAGAAAAGTAAAAAAAAAAATAATTTCAATTTTAATTGAAAACTCCTTTTTGCTGTAGGCCTACTTATTTTTAAATTATTGAATCCACTATAAAATAACATAACCATGTGCACCGCGTGATTCCATGAATTGCATTGACCCTTTTGACTGAAAGAAGTTGCAAACTTTAAATGCGATATAACATTTCGTTAATCTTTCATTGTTGCATCTATCTGTTGATTAAAAAAAAGCTTTTTAAAATGACAGCAATAATGGGTAAACCATTTTCCCTTCCCTTACATGCATGCATGATACAATGTTGAGTGTGTGTTATGGTGTGTGTGTGTGTGTTTTTGAGGTAACGGTGGGAAGAAGTTAACGGTTGGATCTGAACAGGGCCGGCTTTAGGGCACTGCAATCTATGCATCCGCAGTGGGCCCCGCACTTTCATAGACCCCGCACTAACACTAGATGTAAATTATTAAATTAAACCATTTCAACTTAACAGGGTTTCCGCTGCCTCCTGATTTTCCAGGAGCTCCTGGAAATCTAAAATTATACCATGAAAACTCATAAAAACGTGCTTAAAAATAGACAAAATTGTCACTTTGGGTGCCATTCAATATGAAAAACGCCAATCCTACTCGCGATTAAAAAACGGCAAGGTCAGTTTTCATTTAATAAAAATAATAAGGCGAATTTTAACACTAGCAGCTAGGAAAAAGTAGCACTGGTTAGATCCACATGGAGAGAGAGCATAAAGGAAGGGTCTCGGATTGCAGATGCCATACACAACAGAAGCAGAAAGAAGGGTAAAAATGCAACTGCGCCTGGTGATTACATATGCCCAACCTGCGACCGCAGCTGTGTATCAAGAATTGGCCCCTTTAGTCACACAAGAAGTTGCAAAGGGAAAAGATGATCTCCCAAGACGTAAAATGCCACAGACTATATTGATTACATTTTATCTCAAGTTGAATTTGTTTATATTGTAATAAAAGTTCTATTTAGTTTTGTTCACAAAAGAGGTTATTTCAAATTTTATACTACGCCTACAACGGTTTAGTTGTCTACCAGCAGTTTGGTGGTACAAGTCAACGACCGTCACCAACACCTGTTCTTTCTTTATGAATTCCAATCTCGTGCTGACATCATTGCTTGCATAAAGCTGACTCCTTGTTATAACCGGCATCCTCTCTTAGCATTAACACTGACAGAAAAACAATGACAAAATGATATCTCAATCAAGCAAACAATCTGACTGGCCGTAGTACGACGCTCGTCACTTCTAAAGTACAGTGGTTCTCAAACCTTCGTCTCCTTCTTCACGCTGTCCTTTTATACTTCATGCCATTAACCTAAATACCACATTGTATCCATTAACACGTAGAGATTTCCTTATCATAGAGGAGTCAGTCTGTACATTACAAAGAATCCCTTTACATCAGATATTATCTCTGTACACCAGTAGTCTTTCTGTAAACTGTAAATCATGTAGTCTAAAGCAAGCAGAATCTCTGTAAATCAAGTATTTTTATTGTACACCAAGGGGTCTTCTCTGTACATCTAGTAGTCTCTCTGTACATCAAATAATCTCTCTGTAAATCAATTCTCTCTATAAACCAAGTAGTCTCTCTGTAAATCAAGTAGTCTATGTAAATTAAGTAGTCTCTCTGTAAGTCAAGTTAATCTCTCTTTAAATCAATTCTCTCTATAAACCAAGTAGTTTGTAGACTTTGTAGTCTCTCCTTAAATCAATTAATATCTCTGTAAATCAATTCTCTCTATAAACCAAGTAGTCTCTCTGTAAATCTTGTAGTCTCTCTGTAAATCAGGTAGTTTTCTAGAACACCAAGTAAGGGTCAGAGGTCAATAAAACATGACCCCCATCTGATCTATGCATAATTTTATTTTCTATTAACATGACGGTAGTGAGATACATGACCCAGAGGCTTAGCAATCAATAATAAAATTATGAAATCATGTCATTGCGTGCGACCTTTAGCTATTTATAGCTATCTATTCCAGACATTCCGTATCTTCTTTAAGCTTTGCATCTCTTTGAGTCATGGGGGTCAACTCAGTGTATGCTCATGACAACAATAACATTCAGTTTAAGTTTAAAGTCTAGACGACGTTAGGACAATGGTAAGACATATAAATCTACAATTTAAAGTGCTCAAGTAGAGACTCCTAAAACTCCTTTAAGAAAAATGCTTTATCTTAAACACCACTCCCTACTTGGGCGCCGATTCTGAGCTCACGTGAATGCGTCGTGACAACTGAACAAAGTGCAAGCTCCTACGTCATAACTTGGGTGAGGATGACCAAGCAAGGACAGACTGAAGATGTCATTGAGGCCAATGTGATCTCTTAGTTTACTGTATTATTTGTTATATCGCATACATTTTGTTTATGGCACACCGACAAAATAGCGACGACAAAATAGCGCAGAAAAAAATATATTTGTCATTTTGAAAGAAATACTTTAGCTATCGTAAACCATGAATAGAGTAAATATTTTGTTTGTTTTAATGTTATCATTATTTGTCAGTCATTTTGGAGAAACACTTAATATATCTAAAAACAGAAATATACAAACACTAAGCAAAAAATTATAATAAGCTAAAATGAATAATTTCAAAATATATCATTTATTTAGATTCCAAAATTGTACTTTGAAAACAGGCAAAGATACTT